GGGGGGGGGGGGTGGAGATTGAGAAATAAAGAAGCTATATAGATGTGTCGGAAGGTTCAAGGAGTTTTATATATATTTGCCAAAAGAACTAGCAAAATGCAAAAAAGTGTTTATTAAATCAAATGTGGAAAACAATTTTGTCTTTTTCAGAAATCAGAAATATGCCAGGAGTTGTGAAGAAGACTGTGGTGTGCTACGTCTGCGGGAGAGAGTTTGGCTCATCTTCTGTTTCAATACATGAGCCTCAATGCTTGAAGAAATGGCATGCAGAAAATGGCAAACTGCCTAAAGGCCAAAGGAGAAAGCCACCAGTCAAACCAGAATTTTTACCATCAATTGGAAGTGATTCAAATGACCGGGAGCGCTTCAATGAAGCAGCTTGGCAGAGTGCTCAATCACAGCTGCTGCCTTGTGAGAACTGCGGCCGTACCTTCGCCCCAGACAGACTCCCCATCCATCAAAAGGGATGCAAGCCAGGTACATATGATCTAGATCTGTATATCAATCTACAAGCCAGGTACATATGATCTAGATCTGTATATCAATCTACAAGCCAGGTAAATATGATACAGATCTGTATATCAATCTACAACCTAGGTACATAAGATCTAGATCTTTATATCAATCTACAACCCAGGTACATATGATCTAGATCTATATATCAATCTACAACCCAGGTACATAAGATCTAGATCTGTATATCAATCTACAAGCAAGGTACATATGATACAGATCTGTATATCAATCAACAAGCCAGGTACATATGATACAGATCTGTATATCAATCTACAAGCCAGGTACATATGATCTAGATCTGTATATCAATCTAAGCATTTCAGTTTCATTTTGTATTAAGTACTTGAATGTAATATTAGTTTAGGAAATATATCTAGGTGAGGTTGTTCACTTAATTAATATAATTGTTATCATTTAAAGTACACTATTAAATTATAAACATTCTGAAATAGTAATGATTAACCTCTTATTTTTCTGAATAAATTGTTTTTTGCCTGACTTTTCTACAACAGTCCCCATAGAGTGGCATGTGGTTCGATTTTCGACTGTTTAGGTAAAAGGTCAACTTCAGGTTTCCAATAGAAGTCATAGTTCAAAAGAGCTATTTCAGACAGACGAGGGAACTTTTCCTAAAATCTAAAAGATCTTCTTTATACCAAGATTATAATGGCTAAAGTATGTTTTCTTTTTAAAAGCCAGGTAGAATTATAGAAAGGTCAAAAGATGTTTTACCAAATTGCAATTTCTATTACCTCTGCATCACCCCATTATGAAAAAGCCTATCAAACTTAATTTTGTAGCCAACAGTTTCTAGCTAGCTGTGGTTGCTAAATCTCTGAGTTGTCAATTACAGTGTGATTCAAATGTTTTCAGTAAAGGTTTTCTGTCTCATAGTTTAAGAATTGTCTCCCCTGGACTGCTGTCTATCCAGTACGTTCATACGAAACACATTGAAATACAAGATGTAATTGGGTTTCTTATTTTTGTCATTGCCTGATATCTTTCAGCTTCAACTTTCATGGTTACTTTGGCCATATAAGTTGTTACTGTTTGACTGTATGTGTGTAATATGAATTATCAGGGAAAATCCTGGAATTTGAGAGCAGTTGGCCATTTTCAGCAAGTTTTAGTCTATTTCAAAATTAAGAGGGGCCATTCTATGTAAAATTAAGAGAAATTTGGATATGGAGGGGTACATTTCAGTTTTTAGGGGTCAATGGCCCCATGAACCCCTCCAGAATCATCCCTGATAATAACACTGCCTCAAAAAAACACCATGTAATAGCTTGATAAGCTTGTCAGGAATCTGAAGGTTTTGTGAAATAGTTACTCATTAAATGTTCAAAATTTTACAGATAACCCAATGCAGTTAAAGGTTAAAACAGGAGGATCAGGTTCAAATCAGAATGGCTCTTCAGACGACCAGGCTCGCCCCAAAACCGTCAAACTTTCGGCCCCGAAAGTCTTGCATAAAACGAACGCTGTAGACCTAGAGAAACAGACAACAAGAGACAACACTATTCCACAACAGAGAAATAGCACCAGTACCCCATCTTCAGAAGGATCCAGCACTCCCGTTAGCACAGGTCCCGGTTTACAACGGGAGGGTACTTACACATCACCCAATCAGCCGCCGCAAAAGTCTAAGCCAGCTCCTCCAGCTCCCGGCTTCGTTTTATGCTATATCTGTGGAAGGAAATTTGGATCAAAGTCGTTAGAAATACATGAACCCCAGTGCCTTGAAAAATGGAAGATTGAGAATGATCAATTGCCAAAATCTCAGCGACGTAAACCACCCAAGAAACCAGAGATTGCTGGAGGGTCTGGAGGGAGTTATGACGTTGAAGCCATGAACAAAGCTGCCTGGCAGAGTGCACAGAGCCAACTTTTACCTTGTGACCGATGTGGCCGAACCTTTGCCCCGGATCGTCTAGCAGTTCACCAGCGTGCCTGTAAAGCACCCCCGGGTGCCGCCAAGCCAGCGGCTACTGGACGTGGCAGTGGGTCCTCATCAGGGAGCTCTGGTGGTCAAGCGTCACCAACTAAATCCAAAGCTGCTCCTGCCGGTCCTCAGTTTGTACTGTGTTACATCTGTGGCAGAAAGTTTGGAACAAAATCTGTTTCTATTCATGAGCCTCAATGCCTTGAAAAATGGAAAATGGAAAATGACCAATTACCAAAAGGACAGAGACGTCCTGTTCCAAAAAAGCCTGAAGTGTTAAAAGCTGCGGGTGGTAGCTATGATGTTGACGCCATGAACGAGGCAGCGTGGCAGAGTGCTCAGGCTCAGCTCATACCTTGTGGTAACTGTGGGCGAACTTTCGCACCTGAACGCCTTTCAGTACACCAGCGAAGCTGTAAGCCGAAAGGTGGGGCAGCAAGTATGGGTACCTCTTCGACCTCGGCACCCCTTAGCCAGACCTCTGGCGGGATGATGGGAGGTAACCCCAAGGGATCTTCACCTCCAAAAGGAGGACCAAGGACTGTGGTATGTTACATTTGTGGGAGAGAGTTTGGAAGCAAATCTTTACCAATCCATGAGCCTCAATGTCTGGAGAAGTGGAAGATAGAAAACAGGAAACTGCCAAAGGAACGTCGTCGTCCTATGCCCAGGAAACCAACAACTGAAGATGGGGCCTCACTTACGAGGTATACTTGCTGTAAAATGGAAAATTTTCACCAATTTTATTTTTGGCTTTTCATAAATATTCAACTCAAGAGCAATTTTTTAAGAAAATTGGATGCTAAATACAAAGAAAGTAAAACGTTAGATACTAAGGTATTGAATTGAAAGATGTTTTGAAAATTAAGTGAATGATAAGCCAAAAATTTTAATTTATCAGTTATTGCTTATGATTAATAATCTTGCAAACATTTAACCTTTGAACTTTGTGTCCTAGTTGTTGCTTGTATAAAAATTAAATTAATATTTATTGGTAATGGCAATTTTTTGGTCATGGAACTGAAAAAAGAAATGTTACAAAGGTTTATTGAACAATATCTTCATGAATATAAACAAATATTGATTAAAATTTATTTATGCAGGGAGCAGATGAATGATGCAGCATGGGAAAATGCCAAATCTCAGCTGATTCCTTGTGAAAATTGTGGGCGTCGCTTTGCTACAGACAGACTGGATGTCCATCAGAGATCATGTAAACCTAAGGATGGTAGCCCACCAAAACCAGCCAAGCAGGTACAGGATTCATCTTCCCATTCATTTCCTTAAAACTCTCCATAAAAAAATAATAATTAATAACACTAATTAGTTGCCAAATTTTTAACAATTATTTGTTCATGGTTTAAAAGTTGAGGTAGATATCTATACCCCAGTTTCAATGAATTTTTTTGAGTTTGTAATTATTTTCACTGTCTGTCAAAATGGTTTCAGAACGTTTCTCTTTACTATTTCATTTCAATGTTTCTCTCTTTTTTTTACATGATTTCATCGCAGAAAAATTGAGAAAAACATCAGGTCCTCTATATACTCCTTATGCGTACCAGGGCAAACACAACACCTAAATAGCAAATGGCTGCTTGACCGATAGCACGGACGGAGTCAGCATTTATTCAGAAATATAATATATGAATATAATGAATACGCATTAACAAAGTAACTACTCTGACTTCATTTACCGTACACACAAGCAATCCTACCACATATTCCCTCGCATGGTGCATCGCCCTACACACGTAAAACCAAGCGCGCCAACCAACCTGAAAATCTTATTAGGCGCGACAGGAGATGTACCAGCCCGACAATGCTTAAGGTTTTTTACAAAATTGATGCTGGGATTTCCTAAATATGACATATATCTGTTACCTAAACATAAAATTCTGCTATAATTTTATTTCAAGCTGTACTACGCTGTGCGAGGTGCGAAGCTAGAGTGAACATACACCTACCAGTAAACTACCCTTAGCATGTGCCTTAATCTGATTGGTCAAAACCTCTGCACGAGACAGGCCACTGCCCTGGTATACTCCGTGTATACAGGACAAGTATTTCCCGCTATTCTCCGAAACGCGGGAAAGTAATATTAATGTGACCTTTATCTTGTAATTATCATTTCCCGAGCATTTGTCATATACAAATTTTAGAAGGATCAATACCATACTTAATATAAAAACTCCCTCAATATTTTAATCAAGTTCTTTTCATCGCTTTACCTTTTTTTGTCTTAAACAATAAATCATTTTTGTATCACTTTGTCCAGTAATGAGTGTACCCCCATACAAAAAAAATCTCTAAAAAGTTCATTGTCAAGTACGGTATCTTGACTGTAGCTTGGAAAATGTTGATTACCCGTATTACTTTTATGTACTGGAATGTGAAATGCAGCAGTCTTATAAAATTTTGTTTTGATTTGTTTAGTAACCAATACTACTGAAAAATTCTCACAATAGTCAAATTTATATTGAAAGTAAATAACCCTTGATTAAAAGTATTAAATAAATGTGTTTACATATTGAACTTCGTAACTGTACTTTAAATGTCCTATTCATAGAGGCTTTGTACAGATATTAATCCCATGTGGAAATGTCAACAAAATATTAAAATTCACAAGCAACACATTGTACATACCCCAAAACATAAATAATTCAAAACATTTTATATATACATGTATTTAAAACATCGGTTCCTGAGTTTTAAATTTCTGAAGCTTTGAAAAGAAGAAAACAATTTTGATTCATTGATGACCAGTTCATTATATTTTCAGGCTGCACCTCCTCGTAAGCCGAATTTCATGGTATGTTACATTTGTGGTCGGGACTTTGGTAGTAAGTCAATCTCTATACACGAACCGCAGTGTCTGCAGAAATGGTCCATAGAGAACAGCAAACTGCCTCGACACCAACAGAGACCATTACCGAAGAAACCAGAGATACAAAATATCTCAGGTATATATTTACTTTTTGTTTATAAATTAATGATTGACCTTCATTTTTAAGGCTTATACGGTAGTATATGAACGCAGTTGGCAAAAACATTTTTATGATGTGCGTTATATATATTTACACGTACGTGTATTACTGTTCTCTGAAACTTCTATAAGTTTGGAGAATGTAGTCTTAATTTACGCTACAGCAAAATAATTTCTATGTTTTTAATTTCTTTCTTACAATCTAAAATGCTTTTTTGGATAATTCAATAAAAAAAATGTTCTTTCTATCTTGAATTTGAAAAAAAAAACAATATGTCCTTTTTTCCTTTTTTGTGTATTATTTATTTTCTAAGGATTGGATCTAAATAATAAAAGAAATTATTTTGGTGAAGAAAAGGTGATGTGACCATTTAAATTTTCTAAAGATGTACAATGATATTTTGGCCAAAATACAATGTTTCACATCTGTATAAAAAGTACTTGATTCTATATTTTGCTTTGTAAATTTAAAATAAAATCGAATTTTGACAATATCTTGTGAGATAAAATCACTTTATTAGATGTGTGTTGATGGATTTCTGAATTAATGCATACATTTACCATCGATCTCTAGGTACTGGATCATACAGTGTTGAAGACTTCAACCAAGCTGCTTGGGAGAGCGCTCAGGCCCAGCTTGTCCCTTGTGATAACTGTGGACGTACGTTTATGCCGGACCGACTGACTGTACATCAGAGAAGCTGTAAGCCAAAACCTCCCAAGGAAGCCTGAAGACTGGGATTGTGGCTTACAGCCATAAGGAATGAGGTCTAGATAATGAGGATAGTACTAGTGATGAGTTGACCGATTGCTCATGAAAGTTTTATAGAAATGAAAATTTTTAAAGCAAATTTTTAATTTGTTGAACCAGAATAAGTTTTGAAGAAAAAATAAATTAATTGGTAGAAAATGATTTCCAATCTGAATTTTTAATTAAGAGTGAACATTAGGTGGATTAATTTACATAATAGATTATTTGAGCTTAGGTCAGGTGACATTTAAATAAGAAATCTGAAGAAAAAATCAGAATTTGGTTTTAAAGAACACCCACATGATATTTTTTTTTTTAACTTTTTGAAGTGTTTTTCCCTTTAATTTATATATATGCCACCTGCTCAATCATGTACAGTATAACAAAATTGTAGTTTGCTATATTTTACAATGTCACTTTGTTATACTGCCATTCAGTCAAGTTATGTCATTTCAGAAAATAGGAAAAGGGGCATTAAAAAATAGTGGCACTAAACAATATTAATGCAAATGAACATTGAGACGATGGACATTTGATATCAAGGTTCCATCAAGCATTGTGAATAGATCTAAATATGAAAGAGTATTTTTATTTAATTGATTAATTATTGGTACGTTTTGTTATAAAAGTGTTTTTGTTTAGATTAGCTATACATACTTACAATAATCCTTGATGATTCTTACCTAAATATTTTTTGCTGAGAAATATTTTTGAGATTCACAGGTGCTTATATGATTTCTCTGTGATTTTATCCAAATAAATTAACACTCAATAAATTACAATCTGCCCAACTGTACAAATTGGTATCGGCACATACACTCATGCAACTTCTGATTATAATCACCTCACCTATAATATATGGACTACCAGTAACTTTTTTTCTGGATGTAAAGCAAATTTTTATCAGACACAGGTTCAATTAATATAGAAATATATTCATGCTGTATAGAGGTTTTTGATACTACAGAGATTTGTTCGAATTAATTTGAATATAACCCAGTGCTCAAGTGATTCAGATGCATCCCACGTGCTTGGTAAAATGTTTCCATAAATTATGATGTATTGTTAAGGTTGATGTTCTGTTATAGCAACTCGTATTTATGTTCAAAATATATATTCCATGTCAAAAAATTGTAAAATGAATGAAAAAATCTTTTCCTCGATCTCCACTTCTCATTAACATTTTTCAGCAAATCTCTTCAGTCTTCTTCAATATTATTGAGTATATCTATTTCTGATTGACAATTCTCAGCTGAACTTTGTATATTGTTGAGTATATCTATTTCTGATTGACAATTCTCAGCTGAACTTTGTATATTGTTGAGTATATCTATTTCCGATTGACAATTCTCAGCTGAACTTTGTATATTGTTACATTCTTTGTTATATTAACTTTATGATTACAGGGTGACTTCTGTGTATGGCAGGGTCAGGTTGACCTGACACTTTGACCTTTGTGTAGAATGTTTAATGCTACAAGAGACTGCTTGTTAAGGCTCAGTTTATCAAGTTTTGAAAGCAATTCCATTATCTATGAAAAAGTTCAAGAGAGCATCTAAGCACCTGATCCCTATTGCATGAAGTGGGTCCGTCCACCTATAAATAATTTTCTATAAGTGTTACATACTGTGTTTATCTTGTAGAAGCCCCTGCCTGGTAATAGCCCACCCATATTTATTGACCCTCATGATAAGTAGGATTGCAAGCAAATGCTTTTTCATTGTCCTGTAATAAGCCCACCCCTACGTTGATTATCATTTTGTTTGTTACCCACCTATAGCCATGAATACACCTGTAATTAATTTCATTATTTATGATAATCAGTGTATGTTATGGTATTACACACCTTTACTGTAAATACTTGTTAATACAAATACTATTTTCTTGATGACAATTATAATTTGAGGAAGATTACATTACAAGATATATATAAAGATGTGTCAATGAGGTGAATGATCTGAACACATGAAATGCTTATGACCATCTCCCAACTGTTGAATAGAATTAATGATGTTTTCATTATCACATTTATGTTACTAGTTTTCCTGTTAGGTTGTACATGGACTATCAAATATTTTGTCAGGAGTTGATAGAGATGAAATGTGCAATCAAAGTTTGTATAAGAGCTTCTGTATACTTGGGAATTTTGCACAGTCCAACTTTTGCCATTCACCAGGAATTCCATGTATAGCTGCCCAGTTTTGATTTCTCCCTTTACATTTACGGTAATCACTATGACTATTATGTTGTTTACCAATGTTCACTGAAATGTTAAATTTGCCTTCATTGCGAACGACGAAAAAGTCGAATATGAAACTGCAGTGAAAATTTCCTGGTATACAGTATTTAGGAATTATCTAACTTGTTACGCTTCAATGCGTGTGAGGCACAATTTGTCATCATCTTCTAATGAGTGACCAAATATGGTTAATCATTAGCAGGTATCTCTGTCGACACCGAGGTGTGTTTGGTTATCATCTTGTGCATAAACACCAAATTAATGTTAATGCTGGCACTTGAGTTAATTAGGCCATTAAAAAATATTTTTAAAAGTGAATAATAAACCAATTAAAAAAAAGGACCATTCCAGTTGATAAAGTGTATATAGAGGCTGATTGGGTTTGGAACAGTTCTTTTTAATTAGTTCTTAATTTTTTTATGACTAAACTCAAGTGCCTGTGGTGTAAATACTGGGTATGATTTACTTGTCATTGATCTTATGAAGTTAGAGGATGTTGTACATATCAGATACCATTCATCATATCTTTACACAAATACTATATAATAATATATATAGACATGCACATGTATAATTTGTTTGTTAGAAAGTCTACAGATTTGTTAATGTTTCTGACAAAATTTTTGAGATATAAATTGTTTTGAAAAAGATTGTTTGATATACATTATTTATTTTAAGAGTAAGTAAAATGTTAAATTGAATTGTTACAAAATATTATATGTAATTGATCTGAATGTTAAAATATCCTTGTCTAATTTTACGACTTATAGCTACTTCCTGTATATGTATGCATGATGTCTCAAAACTCTCACACTTTGTTCAATAGTCATGCAATCTTTTAATTGTTAGTAATAATTGTATGTTTAGGAATTTAAAAAAATAGATTTTGACCATAATCTGACCTTGGCTTGACCTTTGCCTGATCTTTGCCTGACCTATTTAAATTTGCTGTATGTGATATGTTGGTTTAATTGACCTTTGTTTGACTGATAATACCTAGTAATGAAATGATTTGTATATGAATCATTTTCTGCAAGGTATCATTTTCAGTTCAGAAATGATTCATCAAAGATGGAAAAAAAAGTTTCAACAGTTTTTGGCAGTGGTACAGGGATCCTTAAGTAGACATTGGATATATTATCCTTGTATTTACGACCCTTGTTAATTTTACCCAAGTTATCATATTTGAATGATTATTATTTGTTTCAATTATTATGTTGTTATACTGTGTGCTTATTGATGACCTAGTAATGTTGTTTAGTTTATAAACTGTGATAAACCCGCTATATATTTTTGGAGCTGATTTTTGTGATAACAATATACATTTGTAATGATATTACTGAAAATCTTACCACATGTTTTTTTTGTCTCACCAGATTTTTGACTTCTGACAATATAAAACAAATTAGCCCTGTATTGAATTTGCCCGTATATACTATATATTTATTGTAATATTTAACACCCATGTTGTACTCATTGATGTTCTAGGGCAAAAAGGGGGGAAATGTATTAGAGCAAAATTCCAGTTTGATGGTACATATTTTGCCCCTGGAATAGCATATAAATACCTATGTTTAAAACAAAAATCTGAACCTAGTAAAATGGCTAGCCTGTAACATAAATTTTCAATATTTCTTTTAATTTCAATGAATTGATACAGATGGATATTTGTTCCATTCATTTAATATTTGTCATAAAATTCTAGAGTAGAGCACAAACAAATTGAAATCATGCTTAGTATAGATAATAATTTTACATGATTTTCCCTTTTAAAGCTGTAAATTACATGTTTAATGTTCATATCGAATTTGAAAATTTTAAGAATATTTAATAAAAAAAAATAATTTAAAAAAAGGGCTTCAGAGTCAAAAGTCTCCCATTTATAAATACTGATTTGGATGGTTTGGAAACCACAATTTTGAAAATCAACTAGAAAAAGACAAAATTTCTGTACTGTACATGCAAATATGAAATGTAATATTTCTTTTTTTATATATTTTCATTTCATTCCATGCTACAATAAACCAGCCTAAGTTATCTAAACAATGTCTGTGTAGTCCTCTTCCAGTGTTCCAGTCATGATATTGCATGTTTATGTGAGATAATATAGAACATACTGTTTATATTTAACAATTATTTTAGACTCTTAAACAAATTTCACAATTTATAATATTTTGAAAAAAAGAAAGGTAAATAACATGACACATTTAATCCTAAAAATAAAATAAAGTGAAATATTATCAAATTTGAAAAATTAACTCAATGAAATTAAATTCTCTATTTAATTATACAGACTTATATAAACTCGAAACTGTTTACAGGCATTTTACTATGAAGTGTTTTTCTCTCTTGGATCACTTTTTCATTTCAAATTTTCTTGTAATTATAGGAGATTATTTTTCCTGCATATGTTTCCAAAATTTCTACAAATTGTATTTAGCTGCAATTTTTCAAGGGATTTTTCTCACAGAAAAGTGTAAACAAGAAGAATTATATCCCCTCAAAAATATTACTGTCTGTCTTACAAATATTATTGATAATAGAATAATTTTAATGGTGCTATTTAGCCTGTTTTACTTGTTTGTGTTTCTTTAGAGTAGCAAGTTTTCTCATTGTTATGCCATGGCGCAGTGTTCGTTGTCAACTTTTCCTTTAAAATGCTACTTGTCCTGAACGGCTACGTAGATTTTGACTAAATTTGGTCTGGTGCATACTGAGGCCAAGGGGACTCAATTTTGTATAAACTGTGGGTGTGGCCCTCTTGGGGGCAGAGGGGCGATGCAGAATAGGGGAAATAGAGGTTAACCTTTAACATCCTTCTTCTACCATAGGGATTGAGTGATTTCATCCCAAATTGTTCTGGAGCATCCTTGGGCAAAAGGGACTCAAGTTTGTATAAACAGTGAGTGTGCAACATCTGGCTATTTAAACTTCAATTTTGCTAACATTTCCAGGTGAGCGAGACAGGCCCTCTGGGCCTCTTGTTTGTAATTTGTCTGCTTTAAGAGTTAATCTGACAAGGAAAACCAAAACTTTTCTGTATCAAGTTTTATGAAACTTTAGTTATAGTTCAGAATGCACCTCTTAGAGAATACTGGTGTGTGTGATAGACTTTAAAAATATACACATCTCTTTGTCTCTATTTAAATTCATTTAGTAGGCATACGTGTATAAACTGTTAGAGTTAGGGTATCGCAATCTCTGGAAAACAACTGTGGTTAAAATTGAAGTAATATAATTCAATAAATAGTAAATAAAAGTATGTTGATATGAAAAGATTTAAAATTCCAATGACTTAATATATATGTAAAGTATAAGTGTAACTTTAAGTATTAAATGTTTTATAATTCATATCAGATACAAGTAACTTTTTAATTGACTTTGCTGTTCTGTACAGGGAGTTAGTCCTCTATCAAATGTGTGTTAGTCCAAGTCTAAAACACCCCGGAAGACTTGACTCTCTTGGCGGTGAGCACTCCAACAGAGATGTAAAAATTTCAACACATGTCTGTCTCCTTGAAAAATGTTAACTAAAAAAGAAACCAAGTCATTTTTACACATGAAGATAAAAAAAGATAATTTGTACACTTTTGATAGACACGCATTTAGATGTTTGATTAACTTATTGATGTATTGTATCGGAATGCAATGATTGTTTCTGCAGTTTTGTATTCAGCATGCAATAAATACAATTTACACTATAAATGCCCTTATAACAGTGTGCTATATATTTCTAATGATTTTTTTTTTTACAAACTAGTATTAATTGACTTTATTCATAACCATCAAGATATGCAATCTGTACTTCATTTAAAAGATACATCTTGTTTTTGTATACAAATACAAATTTTGACCATGATAATAGTGCTAATATGATGGATACTAAGTGGTTTTTTTTGTATTTTGTATGCATAGTTGTGATGTGAATCGTTATTTTTAGATATGATACAAGTGCTCAAAACTTTTAAACCACCCATTAGAATTATTGAAATTATATGAATTCAGTTTATTATAGAATTTAGGAAACAAAAATGAAAATATCATATGAATGATGACTTTTACAGTAAAAATGTGGTATTTAGCTGTTAAACAAAAGTTGGTGATAAAGTCTGTTTGATTGTGTCCCAGTCTGTATGTTATGTGTATTACATGTGTGTATATTAGTATACATCCACTGTAATGCACTTATATACGGACCATTGAGTGACTGATCTGTGCCACACCCCTGTGGGTTTCATTGTTACATGATTAGCTGATTATCATCAACTCTTAATTATTACAAGTTTTGGGTGTAACGTTTTGTCTGGTTTTCCTTAATTCTGATTGGCTAATTCTTGGTCCCAGATTCACAGATATATATCATGTGCAAGCCCATGTTTTCTATTTTTGTCTTGCACATGACCATATATATACTGACCTAATGTTTCTAAATTTAGATATGCGCATTTTGTTTCAAAAACAGTCCCTTGATTCTCACTATTTAGACTTATCTCATGATGTCTAAAGACATATGTTGTATAAAAATTAAGGGCTTTTGTTTTGGTCAATATTATGTTATATGGACATTGACAAAAGTCTATAATTGATAAATTATTTTGTCACAGGTACTGGGTAATACTATTTATATTTGTAGCATTTATGTTAAGATATTCATATTTGAAAAAATTCAAACAGAAAAGAAAAAAAAAAATGAAATTAGTTTTATCTGGTTGGTGTATATAAAATAAACTTTCATGAAATTCATTAACACTACAAATAGTGAAATAAAAATGTTCATATTTTTTAATGAAATAAAATTTAGTCCAACCTCCACTTAGGCTGCTTTCTGCTCTCAAAAAAAACTGGTTGGTCAGATGGTAAACAAAACTTTTTATTCTGACAATTTTTTTTTTCAATAGATCAGGGACAGTGTTTTAGAATTTAACGGTGCTTGTTTACAATTAGGCAAAAATGACAAGGATCAGATGGAAAAGTGAAATCAACTGTGTTTTTTGGGCTGATTGGGGAATAATTGACTTAAAGCATTTCTTACTGATATTGTACATACTACATAATAAAACAATTTAAATACTGGAATTAGATTAGCTGAACATTTTATTTTAAATATTCTAAATGGAATATTCCTAAATCTGATACAATACCTATATTATTACAATGTTAAAGGTCTGCTTCAAATGCGTGGAAACAATGATTTTCATGGATTTTCTTCTTTTTGTTTACGTTATTTGAGGACTTGACTAATTTAGCTTCAGATTGTTTGGATTACATACAGATTCAGACCCAGTTTGTTTAGATTACATACAGATTCAGACCCAGGTTGTTTATATTACATACAGATTCAGGCCCAGGTTGTTAAGATTACATACAGATTCAGGCCCAGGTTGTTTAGATTACAAACAGATTCAGACCCAGGTTGTTTATATTACATACAGATTCAGACCCAGGTTGTTAAGTGTACATACAGATTCAGACCCAGGTTTAGTGTACATACAGATTCAGACCCAGGTTTAGATTACATACAGATTCAGACCCAGGTTTAGATTACATACAGATTCAGACCCAGGTTTAGATTACATACAGATTCAGACCCAGGTTTAGATTACACACAGATTCAGACCCAGGGTAAGATTACATACAGATTCAGACCCAGGTTTAGATTACATACAGACTCAGACCCAGGTTGTTTATATTACATACAGACTCAGACCCAGGGTGTTTAGATTACATACAGATTCAGACCCAGGTTGTTTAGATTACATGCAGATTCAGACCCAGGATTTTGAGTTTGAGTGTAGTTGAGGATTTAGCTGAAATTTACGACAGCATGCCCATTCTTCTCAAACTCAGATTCTGTGTTCAAAACTCAAATTTTTGTAAAGTGAGAATACTTATACAAATTTAAAACTAGTGGAGACTTGTAGATTTTACCATTCACGTTTATTGTTTATTAAACCTGCCAGAAGGTCTCTTAGATAGAAGAGAGATGTTTTGAGCATATGGCTTGACTATTACCGAAAAAAACCCTAACAAGGGCACAATTTGTTTTTGTTTTTGTTATTTGGAGGTGGGGGGGAGGGGGGGGGGAAGCTGAGCAGGAGGGAGGTGCATTCCCCGATATCCCTGGCTGCCTACAATATTTATATAAAGGTATACTTTACATGAGGGTTACTGTTGCCCTGGTAATCGTTGTAGTAACACACAGAAAAATGATAACTTGATGTTTTGCCTACAATTTTTCAATCTTCGGCTTTAGTGTATTAATTGGGATTATTTTTTTATCAATATATATTGGTAAGTTATGCATATGTTTTTGTTTCAAACAATGATAAATTTCCATTATTAAAGAAGTGAGCATCATGTTGTTATAAATTTAGTTACATGCACATGTTAAAATGCTGAAATTTAACAAATAGAAACAGTGTAGATTGTAGAAACTGCAAAAGAAATTAAAATAAATTATCACACAACCTCTAACCTTCGTTTTTGCATGTTTTCTTTAGAGTAAAACATGAATGGCTCGACTACATGTTACTACACGAATAGCAATATGCATTTTCAGCAATAGACTGGTCACCAACTGGTAAAGACTGATGAGCATTTCATAATATAAAATTTGTGTAATCTGATGAGGAAGTACGACTGTGGCAAGGAAATGCATGGGTTTAACATTTTAACGTTACTGAAGGTCACTAAAGGGAAACTTGAGGGGTATGTTGTAACATATGTATATATATACACATGAATTGCGTAAATTAATATTAAAATAAAGTTCTAAAATTAGAACAAATTGCTGTTTGTAAAAAAAATATATGATTACCGGATGTTGAATATAAACGTTCAATACATCATACTTCAAACAGAAAATATAGCAGTTTAAAGCCGTCGTGATTTTTTTTACTCATTTCCCCTTTCACTGTACCTACTTTTATATGTCTCTATAAACTTTAGTTGGATATTCATCCTTTTTATCTTAATTTAGTACCACAGATGAGACAAAATAGCCATATGGCGCAGTGAAATATTTTTTACCTCACATGCCCGACAAACTTTGAGAATGAAAATGATTTTGACCTATTTTCAAGTTCACAGAGGTCAAATATGTCTCACATCATCCGACTTCTTCTGAATAATCTAAAGGCATAGAATTATAATATTTGGCTGGTAGCTTGATGGAGCCCGACAAAGTTCGAGAATGAATATGACCTTGATCTACTTTCAAGGTCA